AAATAAAGGCGTCCTCAAAAGGTCACCTCCTGACAGATACTCCCACTGGAGAAGAATAGTCTCCAGCGTACCTGATGGCTGAAGCTGAGTGTTGTGAGGGTGGGTTCTGGCTTGCCAGAGCAGAGTGCACACCACATCCAGGCCATGACCAGCTTTCTGAATGACACCTGCCAATATAAACTAGATTTATGTTCAGGCTCAAGCATTAAATCAGGTCTTTCCAGAACCAGAGCTACTCTAAACAAATAAAATCTGTGAAGATGCTCAGAAGCTCTGCAAAATATTAAGTCATGGAGAAGGAATACTCAGTAATTGGAGATGGTCTGGGATACTTAGAATACAGAATAAACTATTGTATTTTTTTCCTCCTTTTTTTTTTTTTTTAAATATATAAAAGTAGTTCAAACTGAACAAGTGTTCCTGTTTCAGTACTAATGTATTTCTTTTCAATCCTAGGAATCCCTCCATCTCTTGGCCATATATTTTGTAAAGAACATTATTTCAAAAATGATGATGTGAAAGTTGCATTCAGGTGCATTCCACATAGTTACAGATGTAATATAATATAATGCAGAAGTGAAGTACACTGAATTAGGATAAAAAATAAAAAAATTCTTTTTTCAAAGTAGTCTTGAATTTATTTATTAAAAGAAAACAAGTCCACAGAACTTAGGGAATGGGATTTAAGTACCTGGGATGGGACATTCTTTTTTTCAAGCAATAATCAGCAAATGCCCCGAGCGGATGGCTACTGTCTTACTTTACAGGCACAGAGATCTTCTTGGTTTTAACTGGCTTTTTGTGCTTATCAATACAAACCACTACACTGAAAAGGAAAATAAAGCAACCCATTGCCTCATCCGAGTGTTTTCCACATATTCCTATTGTTGGAGACCTCTCTTCTGCCACGTGATGTTTCTTACGGCGCTTTAGGCAAAGTGTTATGATCTGAAATACCTGTCAGTCCTCAGTCTTACTACTTGCCAATGGGCTGTTGGTCTATGTTTGCCAGATTTTGTCCCAGCTTTCCAGATATTGAAAGACTACGCTTCAAAATGATCTTAGGAAGGAAGTCTGAAATCTATTTCAGGTTGGAAGATTGTGGAGGATTTAGCAGTAATCATATTACTGCACCTGACGTAACAGATACAGACAGAACAATGCCCTTCCAATTTGGGAACCTTTCAATCATCAGTTATACTTAAAACCATATCTCAAGAAAGATATTTCTTAAGAAATATAAACTTTGCAAGAAGCAGAATGGGAAACTTGAAAATGTTATACCTACTGTCAAAATTGTTTCCTAGTTCTTAAACCTAATAACCTACATTTCTGTGTGTTTCATCTCAGGACAGCATATTAAAACTACCCAATTTAGTGCTCCTTCTGTCCCCAGCTGTTTACAAAGTTAGTGCACTGAACAACATTTGCCCTTCCATCTTGATGAGACAGAAATTGCCCCTTCTCCTGTTTTCATTCTCAGTCCTAAATAGATTCTGCACAGACTAATGAATTCAAGGCAGGGGTTGGAAACAGGATGATCCTCGTTTTTATACAGGCATGGATTATAGCTTACTGTCCCATTATTAAACAAACCTAAAATCTCATAGCAAGGAATCTTATGACTTGTGCAATGTCACAGACGCAAGTATAGGTCTTAGTAAAGCAACCTCTGCTTTTAATATTTCAGGCACCATCTATACCACGAAAGACAACTCAAGTCTGGTCAAACTGCTATTTCCCTCACCTTTCATGAGCTTTAGACGTCAGCTGCATCACAGCATGGAATATGTAATGTAGTTCTTTGCATCACATCTCTTTCTTTACTATCTGCAATTTAACTCAGTTCTGAAGAATTTTCCATAAACACAGTCAAACAGAAGAAAATGGTGCAGTGACATTTGGGATGCCAGTAGCTTTCTTTAGCTTGGAAGGTAATGAGACATCATCACTTCATACCAAACCCTACTGTGTTTTAGGTTCTCAGGCTTCCCACCATGACAAAATGTACCATTTCACTTAAATTTCTTTTCTCCTGAAGCAAAAAGCCATCATTATGAACAAATGTTATCAACTTCATCAGATACTGGTAACTATTAAGCTGTGCCTACTAAAAACACCCAAACATACGCATGTTCCACAAATGAAGATACAGGAGGAACTTGAAAGGTTCTCAAGGATTTTCAAGAACATACATTTGTCTTTAGTACCTTTAAACATCTCTTTAAGGTTGGACCAGCATTAGAAAAGTGAATCAAAAACATATGTTAAATGCACAATATAATACAAACATTTATATATTACTCTGAAAGCTACACAGAAAACTGAAGTTTGAATTCATCTGCAAACATTTTACTACAACTACTCAGTATCTTATAACCAAATACAACCTTTAGTTAAAATATTTGTTCTTTAAATGGTGTTAATAACACAATTCTAAGCTTGTTATAAAGTGGTAGAAAAACATAACCTCATATTGTTTACAATATATATTTCGATTTAAGTAGCTTTTTAAACACATTCTTGCAGAAACTTAGAAGATATAGAATTAAAGTCTGTCTTAATGCTGTGTGTGTTTTGACATTAGGTGAAATTAATGATCCTTTAAATTTCACAGGAATGGTGTTTCCATGAGCAAACAGATATATCTGGAAGTACTCTCAGTTAAAACATACTGCCAACAAAAACGTGCACAGACAGTTACATTATGGAAAAGAATATGAAAAACAGTATTTCCACTTGCTAGCAAAAATTGGTTGTTTTTAGAATTTACAGAGAAGTTACCATCAGAATCACTTTTTGAAAAGCACAACAAAAGCAGCTGAAGTATCTGATCTGTGTTCTTTTTACTACAGATTTGTTTATACAATCTCCAATTTGTTGTTTAATAAACATCACTTTTAAATTGTTAGAACCTAAAAAACAAATGAAAGACTTTTACTTCACATATCCTCCGAGCTCATCATTCTCTTCTTTCATGCAGCAACCGTGCAGACTGAAAATGCTCTCGAGCAATCTTGTGTAAGCTACAGATTGTTTCTCCATCTGAAGCTGGGAGATGCATCACGTACTGTTAAGATAAGGAGTCCAAATTAGTCACAAGCTAACACTTAGTCTATTGCTTATATGTAGCATCTATCTCAATCTGCAAATTCTGCATGTCTTCATATGGCATTTTGAAGAAGATATCAGGTTGGCTATTAAAATGCTTTCCTGCAGGCCAGTGCTGAATTTTAGTGGAAACTGATAAACACTGACTGTTTCACAATGTAAGTCCTAGTGATATTAAAAAAGAAAAAAGGTTTAATAATCCTGCAGTTATTTAATGTTCAGGATATTAAAATTGCTAGACAGTAATAAATTTGAAGTTGAGGAACACTTGTGCATTTTGTGACATTTATGAACTTGAGAAGTGTGCTGCTAAATTTATAGCAGTTAAATTATTTTTTATCTCTTCAACTGTTTTTTAAGAACTTGAAACAATGACAATTTTCCAAATATGGCAGAGTTTACATGTATGTGTCGTGCAATGCTCCTGTGTGCAAGGCATTGTTTTTCTGTCCAAAGTGAGAAAAACAAATGAGTAAAAGCCATTATCACTCCTAATTGGAGCTATAAAAATTATGTACCCATATACACTGCAATCCCTAGGATGAAGTGGTAAATTAACAACAGTGGCAGGAAGCGTATGGCCATAATCTGCATGGAGCAGCTCTCCAGTAACAGTGGAATATGCCTGTCTTATTCGTTACCAACACCGACAACACGTTTCTTTGAGATAATATTTTGTGAAAATTAGGAGCTGTAGCCACGCTGCTGTTTTCCATCACAGTGACAAAATCTGAAATACTGTAAGACTACATGTAAAGTGAGTATGCAAGCATTTGTATGCTACTCATTAAGAACCAATCAATTTTCCTTAACAGATGTGCTTAATTTGAACTGAAAAATCAGCAATGGTTACATGATGTTAAGTGTGTATCACAGGCCCAGGTCTAAGCTCGTACTGAAAAAGTTAGCAGCTATTTTCTAGACTGTAGAGGTCAGCACACAGATGCCTCAAGTTTTCTGATGAGATGGCTTTCTTCCTTGTCTGTGAGCGTGAAATGAAGATCAAAAACCAAAAACCAAACCAAATCTAAGACCTTTAAAAAGCACTTCTTGTGCTCCTCAGAAAGCAAGAGAAGGCAGCAAAATCATGTAAAAGAATCATAAAAGTTATCCTAATCAGTTATCTTCTAGTTACTACAACTCTCTAATGTCTTCAAGCAGAAGCTACTTTGTGAACAGGTATCTGACTGAAGCTCCTTATCTACTGTATCTTCAACCTTCAGAGGTAAGCACCTTTCTGAGGAAAAATGGTGTCCACTAAACACGGAATGTTGTTCTGAACAAAACCGGCTTAAAAGATGGAAGTAACTTTGAGAAATTAATTCCTCAGCATTTATGATACATACACACAGCCTACTGTATGAAAGGCTGCAATTCTACCGCTGAAGAGAAAGTTAATTTACCCACTACTTTATCTAAACATAAAATGCTGTTGCTTGAGCTACTCCAGCAGTAAAAGGGAAGAGATAATTTCAGTCAACAGCATCGGATACCCTGGAGGAACTCTTGTGTAGCCAGGTTGGAGAAACATGCAGGTTTGTGCTCAGTAAGCTGCGTCGACAACCAAGAACTGAAATCAGATTTAAAAGTTGGTGCAGTGCCAGTCAGTAAGCTTACAGGGCATTCTGAATGAAGTACGCATGCAGATACTATATTTGAACTTTAATAAAAACAACTGTGTTTGCATGATTCTAGTCCTTTTTCTTGGAACAAATATCGTGTCATAATAATAACAAAAATTCGTTCTCAGTTTTTCAATCAGTAGTGAGCCTACCAGATGATTAATTATTAAAATAAACAGGACGATGGAAAAAAGGCACCAGCGGAAAAAAAGGCACAATGGAAAAAAAGGCACCAACTTCACATTGTCGTCATTTACCAATGTAAGCAATTTTGAACCGATAAAAATTGTAATTGCTTAATTGTGGATGTGTACTTATGTAATGTACAGTGTGTGTGAGTGTACTTATGTAATGTACAGAAACAAATATTTTCCTCAGCTCATAGATGAAAGCGCTTCCAATTGCTCCTGCCATTACCGAAATAAAATAGTTCATTTTGTTCACTAATGTAAAGGCAACAGTGTAGAAATAATAAATTAAATATAGTTGCTCTGCTTAAGTTAATCAGAATGTTAATCAGAAAAAAGTAACTCTACCCAATTTTAACCACCCCCAGAACACACATAGACAACATGCACAGTGCACAAAATGAAGGGACCCCAAGGATCATGAAGCTCTAACTCTCCCGCATCAGGCAGGGCCACCAACCTCCACGTTCAATACCAGACCAGGCTGCCCAGGGCCCCATCCAATCTGGCCTTGCACACCTCCAGGGACGGGGCATCCACAATCTCTCTGGGCAGCCTGTTCCAGCACCTCACCACTCTTCCTGTGAAGAACTTCCCCCTGACATCCAACCTAAATCTTCCTTCAATTTTAAACCATTTCCCCTTGTCCTGCTGTTATCTACCCTCTCAAAGAGTTGATTCCCCTCCTGCTTGTAGGCTCCCTTTAGGTACTGAAGGCTGCAGTGAGGTCACCCCGCAGCCTTCTCTTCTCCAGGCTGAACAAGCCCAGCTCCCTCAGCCTGTCTTCATAGGGGAGGTGCTCCTGTCCCCTGATCATCTACACAGAAAATCAAAATGGAAATGACTACCTTTACATCCCACCATCCCCAACTTACACACTTTTCCTTCCTTTTCCAACTTCTTCAAGTGGACTATGAGGTTGTTTTCTGCTGCTAGAAGTAAATTTTCAGGAATGTCCTAATGGGAACACAAACATATGTTTTGTATTAATTTAAGTATCTCCCAAATGTATATTTAGTACATTGATATTGTTTATTAATATAGCTTTTCCTCTTCTCATTACTGTCTTGTGCATTTAGCTATACAGTGATTAAAACCTGAAATGACTAAATTAACTGCAAACCATTTAAACTGCAGACTATACCACATTTCTGATTACTGTGCCCACTTTTTGCATCACACACTTTCGTAATTCAAGCTTTGGCCAACTCTAAGACTGCGTTCTTCTGAGCTTGGTCTACACTGGGTTGTCAATATAGCTAAGCGTTTTTCCACAGGTTTCGATGACAAAAATCAAAGATGCATTTCTCCACAGATACTGATTACTTATTTTTTTGACAATATTTGCATGGATTTTAATATTCTTTAACAACTAGCATCCATAAATGTGTAAGCAATTTAAAAATACAACTTCAGGAGGTCAAAGTATCTTAAAATTTCACACTGATAAAGTATGATATTATAACCAATGATAATAATATTTTTCAAAATCCCCTTCTTCTGCATTATCTTCATACATACAAAGCCTTCTTGTAGAAAATTAAAAAAATTCTTCTCCAAGATCTGAAGTAAGGAAGAAACTCCCTAGAAAATTGGCTCAATAAATTGTGAATCTCTAAAACGCTTTGAGAAAGATACACTTTTTGTTTTAAAGCTTTAGTAGTACTGGAAAAAAACTCTTATAACACAGTGACAGGAAAAATGGTTTGTGATTTACAGAAGCATAAAGATGGCTCTACACTTACAAAGTGCAAGAAGTAAATAGCCACAGATAATAGTACATCAGCAGTGCAAAGTGTTCAGTGTGACTTGCATTTTCTTCTTTGGAAACTGGGGCTTAGTAGAACCATGAAAAAATAGTTGTGAAGCTGTGACAGACCTCTTCACATACTACAGCCATTGACAATTATGATATCTTCCTCTGAAGCTAAAGTTGCATCTCTTTAATGTTTGCATCTTTTCTATTTGCTAAATGCAATAACTCCCACTTCACATGCACAAATCACTGAGGTTACATGAGGAATGAAGTAGGAATGCTTGTCTAATGACACACATGAGCTACCTGACTTCTGAGTGCAATACCTATCTCTGCAAAACTGCAGACCGATGAACGAAGACAGGTCAACAATTTACAGTAATCCCACACTTTGCACTTACAACCAAGCACTACAGCTGTATTTCAGCTTGGTCCTATGAAACCAAGCTTAAGGCTATGTAGTGGAATAAGAAATTTGCAAGGATCATCTGAGCTCCAATCCAATCCAATGCAGTGCTTAAACAGTGCTATTTAAAATACACATTTTGAACAGGCAGAAATCTTTCAATCTTTTTTTTTTTTCCCCTTCTTTTTTTAAAGCCACCATGATCTTCAATCAAACATTTAGGCTGCTATGTACAATTTTAGGAACATACTCTCAATTTTCTTTAGTTAAAGCTAAAAGACTTCCATCAGTAATTACCTTGTACACTATCTTCACAAGCTCTGAAGATGTATATGATTTTCCAGCATTCTTCTGGAAAACATTCAGAATTTGCTCTTCACGTGCATTTCGGTGAGAAATGTATCCTTGAATTCTAGCATTTGCATCACGGACCACTGGGCCATGACCTAAATTGAAACATATGCACCAGAGTGCTGTTACTTACATTTGGATTTAAGTATGCTACAGAATAACTGACTCATTCTTACATAAACTTTGGTAGGCTTCAAGAACTGTATGAGAGGAACAGCGCCTGTATGTATCACTCTGAGCATCCCTGGTGCAAAACTACAAGATGCTCTTCACGCTTCGCATGTTTTTTTTTCTTATAAAGGGATTGAAATTAAGTTTGAGTGCCTTCATCATAGTCCTATACTTCAATAGGATTTAGATGGAAGAGGAGAATCACAGAATCACAGAGTCACCCGGGTTGGAAGGGACCTCAAGGATCATGTAGTTCCAACCCCCCCTGCCTAGCAGGGCCACCAAACACATACATTCAGATCAGGTTGCCCAGGACCCCGTCCAACCTGGCCTTAAACACATCCAAGGACGGGGCATCCACAACCTCCCTGGGCAGCCCGTTCCAGGGCCTAACCACTCTCCTTGTAAAGAAGAATTGTAAAGAGAATTAGGAGATCTCAGAAGTCTGAATGTGCAAAGGGAATGCTTCTGATAAGATAAAAAAAAAAAAAACCTACTTTATACTGCTTAATGCAAGAAAAAAGAGTTTGCTACTGAACAGATTTGAAAGATGAGAGATTATTATATTACATCTGCTTGTCTCACCCTCCACATAGGATATCGGTATTGATTTAAATTGAAACTGGTCTCTATAAAGTAATGATTGAGGCAAAGACTCACGTATTGTACTACCATTCCTGTAACAAACACCAGCAAACACAGAGATGAAGTAAGTTAAGCTGCAAGAGATACATTTTCCATGACATATCTTCAGAACTCACTCATACACAGTGCTGCGTTAATATCTGTAACATGCTTCTTATAGCAAGGTTTCTTATATCTTTACTTGCATGCATCATCTAAAGTAGCAGCATCAGCTTCTGGTTCTGCCAGTTTAAACTCTCTCATTTTTTAAATAAAAATATAACTTTTCTTTAGAACTAAAATTATCTTTCCTTTAAATTTTAAAAGTTTAAGTTTAAAAGTTACTGGTTAGCATCCCAATCAGTTTTCTTTGATGCTCTTGGGCTGTTTCTGAAAAGTCATCATATTCTCTACTCGTAGTTCTTGGTTGACTGACCAAGTTTTTAGCTTTCAGGTAGTTTAAATTATGGCTTATTTCACCTGAAAACAGGCACCTTATAGAAAAAGAGCAAATAATTTTTCATAATCTGAATACCTGTGAAATAAAAAAAAAGCGTCAAAGAAATCTATGCTTTACCACGAGTCAAAAGTTCCTTAACTTGTACACTCACTTCAACAGACTTCAAGTAAAAAATTATCAATAAAAGATATCATAGAATCATAGAATGGCCTGGGTTGAAAAGGAGCACAATGATTATTTAGTTTCAACCCCCTGTTATGTACAGGGTCACCAACCAGCAGACCAGGCTGCCCAGAGCCACATCCAGCCTGGCCTTGAATGCCTCCAGGATGGGGCATCCACAGCCTCCTTGGGCAACCTGTTCCAGTGCCTCACCACCCTCTGTGTGAAAAACTTCCTCCTAATATCTAACCTAAACCTCCCCTGTCTCAGTTTAAAACCATTCCCCCTTGTCCTCCCTATCACTACCCACCCTCGTAAACAGCCGTTCCTCCTCCAAACATATCAAGTACTGGAAAGCCACAATGAGGCCTCCCTGGAGCCTTCTTTTCTCCAAGCTAAACAAACTCAGTTCTTCCTCATAGGAGAGGTGCTCCATGTTAAGGCCAATATAAAAATGTACTGTCACACATGCACTTATTTTTCATGATTTTAATTATATTTCATCTGAATTTATTTTTCCTTACAAAAGGAGCTATAGATATAACAGTAGCCCCTGTAAACACGTTGTCATTCATTAAAAAAAAAATTCAATTTAGAAAACCACTAAAATATACAGAGCAAGGACCATAATATCAACTGTCCACTTACATTCTCAAAAAGACAGCAGGCACAATAAAGTACTCAAGTACTTTAAGTACGTGAGTACTAAATGTCATAAAGCTTGGAACTGAATTTAGGTGTGGATCTTTCACACCTGCAATTTTCAGGGATAGCAACATAATTAACCTCACTAAAAAATCAACATCTACATAAATTTCAAGTATTTCTGAGTATTTGAAGGAGATATCTTAAAATATAACTATCTTTTAAAAAATAACTTAGACATTATGTCAGACAGCTTCATATTTAAGACCTCTGTATATCCCAGGTGATCACACATTTATTCTTATAGCATCCTGTAAAGTAGTATAGGTTCTCTTGTTTCATCCATGAGAAATGGGAGCAAGAAAGATAAAACTAAAAGAAAAGAATTGGCTCCTGAAGTCTTGCACAGATTTCTATCTACTGTGCCATTTCTTCTAAGCCGCCAAGTAGCAGCGTTTATTATTACAGGATAGGGCGCCCTCTGCTGGCCAAAAGGTCCTTTTCTGCTCCCAAGGATTCTCACCAACCACGAGCAGCAAAATACTGCAATGAGAACTTTGCCCGGAGTCATTCCAATGTGACAGTAAAACAATCTTCTGCTACGGTTTTTACTATAGTACATAGCAATAACATAAACAGTTATTTTGGCTAGGCAATAACTATCTTTTACACTATTGCACATCCATTTTATGATGTGTGGATAAAGAAACAAAGTTATAAATCATATCAGCACCTAGCTACCCATCAGTGAAAATGAGTAATATCCTACTGTCTTCCTAACTGCAAGCAGAGCATGAGCACATTCACAGCAGCGTTGCAAACGGTTACGGATAAGTGGGACAAACGTTCAACCTTGGTGAATGTGTAATCTAGATAAATAATGATGAAGGAGAGAGTGAGACACAGCAGATAGAAGTAATAAACCAAACACAAATTGGCATATGTGGGGTTTTTGGAAGACAGAAATTCAATTAGAGGAACAGATTGTGCTTTGCAGGTTTAAAAAAAAGAAAAAAAGTAGAACATTTAACTGATCAATATATCAATAATATATCAATATCTCAAATATTCTTAGTTTTACCACTAGTTTAGTCAATTACTACAAGCACTATTTATGTTTGTGTCAGCCTCCACATCCATGGATTACATAGAATAATATTTTTCTTAAATTGCACTTTAAAAAAAAAAAAATAGATCTAAGCAGTTTATGATCTTAGATCTTAAATATCTTCTATATCTGTATTAAAACACACAGAAGAGATTTGGCTATGTAGGCTAAACATAGTTAATGGACGTAGACAGAAATGAGAGTGTAGAAAGTCCCTCCAACTAGCTGAAAAAGATGAAACAGGAAAGGCCAGAGAAATTCCTGAGATGTAACTGAGGAAGAAAGTGAGGAGGTTAAACCCATTCTTCTCAAATAGAAATAAACACGTAGTTTATACAAAAAATAAACACATCTTCCCCAAACCTTGGGAATAAGAGGGAAAAAATGAAAAGCAGAGTTTTAGACTGAATCAATCAGCAGTTTATTTTTAGAGCATGATGTTTGGACTTGTTGGATCCTGTTCCTATTAAGCTCAGTCATTAACTAACATAACCATTTGACAGTTCTGCAGCCTGCCAAGATGAATTTGTGATTAAACTGTTGCAAAGGACAAACTCCTCTCTCAAAACACACTGCATAGTGACTGAGCACATGGGCTGCAGAGGACCAAAAGAAGAACTATTTTATTCTTCTAGGGTAACACTGGTGATAGATTGGTTAATGAAATAAAAGCCAACTTCTTATATGATTGCAGCAGTCAACAATCCTGGCTTCTGTATGCTTTTAATGCAGAAAGAACAAGAATCACCCTCAAAGGAAGAAATCACAGGAAAGAAAACTATTTGTCACGGAGAGATTTTTAAGTGTCACAGATGTCCAAGCCATTAACTCAGTTTAGCACCAGGCATACATTCAATATTGAACATGAATTGTTACATTAATAACGATCTTTGACTGTAAGAATTGATACAGTAAAAAAAAAAAATATATATACATATATATTTTAAAAATATATAAATAATCAAAACAGAACCACTAACCTGGATATATTAAATCTGGTTTCATTTGTAATAACATTCTCAAACTTTTCATGTAATCATACAGGTCTTCAATTACTGTTGTTCCTTCCCCTAAAATACAGTCACCAGAAAATATAGCATTTTCCTCTTCTAGGTGTAAAGACATATGATCATCAGTGTGCCCGGGTGTATATAAAACTCTGTTTAAAGAAAAACAACAAAAAAGTTTAAGACTTTCATTCAGCAGTCATACAGAACTACCTTCATTTCCAGATGCCTAAAACAACAGTGATAAAATCATACCTTTCTAAAGGAACCTACAGGAAGAATCACAAAAGGTATTCTACTGGGAATTTCTGAAGTGTCAGTGTAAACACAATGTTATTTTGTTTAATCTCAGTCCATTCTCTTATACCCAACAGAAAACACAGATGACCATCTATAACATTCTTTGTCTTAGTCACATCACAGAGGCAGTGCATTAGTGCAGCTAGTTAGTCATGTAAAACTTCTGTTGTAGAGGGTTTCACTGTGATAGTGAAAAAAGAAAAAAACAATGACAATTTGTTCTCAGATTGAAAAGTTCCTGACATACACATTGCACCTGGCAAAAAAAGGCAAAAAAAAAGTTGCTGATTCTCTGAGAAATTCCTTGTACATTAACAGACATAACACAAATAACATTCTGAATTCCTGTGTTTAGTTTACCCTGAAGGCCCCATGACACAGTGGGCAGAACTGTAAAATACAAGGACTGGTGGTCTTTTAGCAATTTTATGTGCAGGTCATGAAACGTCTGTAAGGTATGGATTTAAGATACCACAGCTTAGTGAAGTACTGTGTTAAAAGAAAATTAAAAGACACATATATAGTAATCAGAGCTGCTAAGGAGCTGCACTACAGTTTTTGAAAGGCAGAAATCCTCTGACTCAAGCTCAGACCAGCATCAGTGCTTTAATTCAACAGAATCTACTTGTCAATGGGATGCACAGAGCTGGTGCCAAACATGGCATATAACCTAATGCTAAACAGCCCCAGACACTTCAGCAGAGGGCCAGAAGCACAGCACTGATGCAACGGCTCTCAATTCTGGAATACCAAGTGCTGTGGAAAGCAGGTGAGTCATCACCCTGCTGAGGCAACAGAAAATCAGGTGAAAGGCTTTCCTAATGGAGCTTCACCAGGAAGTTTCAATACTAATATGCAAAAAAACCAAACATGAATGAAACTAATAGGGATTGGCATCCTCCTTGAAAAATTTAAAGTTGCTAACCAGAAATGAAATGTACTGACATTGTTGCTTTAGAACCACCAGGGAGGGCATCTATGAGTATCCTTAGCTAGTAGAGATTACATGCTCTTAACCAAGTATAAAGGTTGGTTGCATAACTGCATACTTCAAAACGTACCACCTTCAGATTTGTTTGGAATCAAATTAGAATTTAACAATTTAATGCTAAATACTTATTGTTGCAATGTTTCCTTTAGAAGCATTTCATTATGTTCACAGAGATCATCATAAACATCACCAAAGTATCAATTTCACATCATAACTATGTATCTAAGAGTAAAGACAAGTTACATAAAATTCTGCATGGTTCTTCCCTCAGGAAATATTTCTCAAGGAAAGCATTTCTCTGGTGAGGCCAAAGACTAAAGGCTGATTCCTCATAAGAACAACTTTTTTGCATAAACACACCCTGCTGAGTCATGACAGGAAGTCTACTTGGGTAAATGTTGGCAGGGTCAGACATTGGATTGTATGTATTACATATATGCACCAGATTTCTGAAGAAACAAATGATCAAACAAAGCTGCAGAAATCACTGCTTACCTGAGTGTGGCTCCCTCTGTCTGTATCACATCCCCATCTTTAAGATATAAATATTTATATCCTCCATCTCCTATTATTTCTTCACAGTGAGGGACACGAGGAAGCTTACAGATGCGATATTCAGAGTCTATTTAAAGAAAGCAAAGAAAATAATGATTCATATTTTGTCACTAACAAAGCTAATACTACAGAATTACTTATGCTTTTTGTAGGTGTACTATAAATTATTACACTGCCTGATAGCAAATCTTCAGGTAAACAATGGTAACCAGTAGTTTTATGCTTATAAAATAACTTTCTTATAGAGCCAGAAATACCGAGTAGTGAAGGCTCTGAATTTTATATATCATACTCTGTACCAGCAGCAATTTTGAAGAGTAAAAAGCAAGAGTGAAATTAATACATAACTATGTATAAGCAGAATTCCAATAATCATTACATTTTGAAAATGTTGTTCCTTACTGACTCATCAAGAGCAAAAAGATAAGTGTGTAAAATAGCATTCGAGTCCAACATCACGATTCACAGAAGCACTATGCAACATTTTTCTAACACTAAATGGTTTGACATGAAACCTCCCTCAGCATCTTTCATTCTAAATTGTGCATGCTTTGATCGCCTTGGCTACAGACAGCACGCAATCCCAAAATTAGGCACTTATACCCCTTGCAAGTCTTAAACTTTAAGGAGTTAGTAAGATTCTCACTAAGACATCCATGCTGGTTTCAGTATTGCCAGAGCTTTTTTGAAGATATGCATCTGGCAACTCAACAAGATCTGATAAAGACTGTGACAAAGTCCACTGAAGCTAAGATGAGCTGCATTATCTACATTGCTTACTCTGTTCTATTGATAACTTCTCAGCTATCACTACAGAATATGCACTTGACATTAGAATTTATCATAAATAACATCCCTACCTTCTTCTCATGATTTGAGGCCTAAAAGTTTGCCATGGTCTACAGTATGAAGTCTCAATGTTAAGCATGTTCTTTTTTTTTTTTAAAAAAAAGAGATTATTTATTGCTTTTTACACAAGTAAAAATAACAGTCAGTTTGTCATGACTGTCAATGCAGAATGGAAAAAGCGCTGTGTTATTCTCATGTCTTCTGATAACATGCAAATTGCTCATTATTCACTTGTAAGAAAAATTCTTTGTGAAGTTACACGCAGGTATTGAAGAAAAATACAGTACTGTAATTATGAAATTCAGATTATTAATTGTCTCACTCTACACATTATAGTGGTACAGTGAAGTTGCATGTGGATTATGTGGGAGATTGCAAAAGATTATTCCAATTGTTGTACAAAGAATAAGTCGTTATAAGTTACTTCTTGCCACATATCTTGCAACAAGACCTGAAAGTTGAGGCCTACCATTCAGGATGTTTGTGCAGATGTCAGGTATTCCACCGGTATGATCACGATGCCAGTGTGTCACCAAGATCTCTTGAATTGAGATGTTGAACTCGGACAGGGCCTGCTTCAAGCAGCCAATATACTCAGGAATAGCTGGCTCGCCTGTGTCAATGAGGATTCTTCTACACGTGGGCAAAGAAAAAAAAAAAGAAAACAAACAACCACAGAGTTCAGAGCCCTTGTGTGAGTTAAACAATGTCTAAAAATAAAGGAAAAAAAGCAACCAACAGCACTGCAGTTACTGAGGCAACAGTAGCTATCCCCAGCTAAACTTCACTACTGTTTCAGATTTTTAGTCATTAGAAGCAACACAGTTTTCAACCCTCAGTCCTTACACACGATCACAGTTTACTTCCACCACCGACACAGCACGGCCTCGGCTCCACCACCCTTCCCATGGGCTGCACCACAGCTCGGGCAGTCCGACCCGGGTTATTACACTCACACCGCCCAGCCCCGCGCTGCGTCGAGCTCCGCCGCCGGGCCGCTACCTGAGCCCGGTGCCCACCAGATAGGTGTTGGTGCCCTGCAGAGTCATAGGCCCAGGGTTGCAGCCCAGCACCCGCACCACGCGCGACGACAGCCGTTCAATACGCGGCAGCAGCGACGCCATCTCCACCGCTCGGCCTTCCCGCCGCCGCCGCCACCAGACAGCCCGCGGGAAGGCGGAAGCGGCGCTCCGCCTCGCACCGCCCCCCGGTCCCGCTCCTCCCCCGGAGTGCCCCTGTGCGCTGCGGGGCGGCGCCGCCACACTCCGACGGAACGTCCTTGTGAGCCTCGGGCGGTCGCCTTTCTGTTGGCGTTCTTAGAGACGTTGCAGCAGGCAGCCTCCCTCCTTAAAGAGCCTGCAAAAGGAGGAAAAATGCGATTATTTGAAATTAAAGCAGGCAGTACCACGTTGTAGGCAACTTCAGCGGTATTGCAGTCTCAAAGTCTGCATTAGTTTCATTGTTTATACATATAAAGGATCCTATGTATTACATACAGCCTAAGAGTTGTAAGTTAACTCTTATAGTTAAGCAATGTTATGAAATAAATGTAATTTTAGAAGTAGTAATAGAGATACAAGACAGAAAAGTGTTCTGTGGTAGATTTTTTCTTTTTCTTTTTTTTTTTTTTTTTTTTAACTTAAAATTTTAAATGCTCATCATATGAAAATATACACAATCTGAGGCTGTCTTAGAGGGTTTGCATAGTCAGATTTGCAGGCCATATTCCCCTTTCTGAAGGGGCACGTATCCCCAGATAGAGTCTTGAGAGGCATGCTTCCAGAAGGCTTGTAAGATACAAACAATGCAGTGTGTCTTGGAACTGAAAAACTAAACTACAGACTTTCACAGCAAGTGATATATGCTACATATACAAGGAAATAAGTTGCTGGAGGGTTCACATGTAATAAAGGTCTACACGTTTCCATCTATGATAGACTGGTGTTCCCCGCTCCTCTGCGATGTCTCTCTTCCCATTTCAAGCTCTCATTCTGCTGCAGATCCATCTGATATACTTAGCTTGCTGGGCAGCGGCGAGGCAGAGGATGTCAGCTGGCAGGGAGGCAGCTCCAACGTAGACCTGGTTACCTGCCTGACCTTGTTCTACTTGTTGGTGTCAGTACGCAACTCACCTCTTCCAGCTGGCCTCCAAGGTTAGAGAACAAACACTGTTGTCAGCTGCCAGGTCAGACAGCAGCACTGTGTCTTTGCTTTTCAGGTGCCAACAGCATGCTTGCCTCTATGCTGTTTCAACAGTGCTAATTTAGCTGCATGTTAGTGCACTTAAAGTGCTAACCAGCCCTTCAGCTGTTCAAACAGTATGAATTATTTTCAGTCCCTCATTCAGCAAAACAATCTGTTCTGTGATGTACAAGATGCTTCCTAGCAGCATGTTGTGCAGGTCTCTGTATGCAGCAATTCAAAAAGCCTACTCCTGGGCATGGACTTTAATAGCAGTTGTTAATTGCTAGGCATCAAAACAGTGACAGACAGCAATTGGACCACAGTGCAGATACTGGACAACCCTATGTTTAGATCTTCAAGCCAATCTCCATTATTCATTTGAATTATTCCTATCAAAACATTGTTTACTTTCTTTTTTCTTCTTCAAACTCATGGAAGCATGATGCACTGATATCAAAAAAAGATATTTTATGTGGAAAGAAAGAGGCATTTTTGTGTGCATGTGTGCTACTGGAATAAGAAAGACGCACTATATACAATATTTCAATATTTCAATATCTCAATATCTTCCCATATAATTTCCCAGTCTTGTTTTATAAGGACATGTGACTAAATCTGAATTTACTCATGAGGTACTCAATTATGTTGACTTTGTAGCACCCACATATACCCATTTGCTGGTACATTCAACCCATTTTCATTCCCTAAGTGAAGTTCAGTTGCTCTGCCATTAAGCAAAAGTACTATCTAATCAAATGTGGGTGTTCCACTGGTTTCCTATTCCGAAAACGTAGAGGAGATTTCTAAAATGAAGATTTACATGTCATTGACAACAGAGTAGTAAGGCACAAGTAATTTTTATGATCATAGGTTTGATATTGTAAAAACTAAGAGCTGGGGGGAACTGCAGACTTATCCTGCAAGTGGGGATACTTACAACTATGGTGTAGTAAAATCGTATGTTCTATTATTAGGTGAGAGCTTGGATTCTGTTTCGTCTGTAGATGGCAGCAGTGGGTGCCTTCGGACAATTAATTCCAGGTTCTTTCTTTCATTGTGGTCTTCGTTTCCTGCACAAGCCCACCAGCTAAAAGTTTAACGTTTCTCTTATAAAATGGGGATAATAGGCATGCATTGACAGTCTTGCTGTTATACATTTGGTACGATCACATGTGACTGCAGAACCTCAAGATGTTCTTTGGTTCAATAAGTTGCTGTTTTACATTGTCAATACAAATTTTTGAGGGGAAATGTAAGTGCTAGTCCTAATGAGGGCCTTAGTTTCTGATATTTGAAAAAAGTTGACTACTCTAAAGGTAAAATATCCAGTGTCTTGTCAACACTAATCAAAGCAGAGAGAAAATATACTTCCTGCTCCATTTGGAAGCAAATAACAAGATGTGTAGTGAATACCATAGGATTTTTGTCATAGTGTGCTTTCTTCAATGGCAAGTCTAGCTATAAAACAAACAGGTCATCCAGCCACTAGTTTAACTCATGAGTTACATGGTTAGTAAGTCCAAGGATGAGATACGCAAACCTATCTCTCAGTCTTTATTTCTCTGTGCTACAGAATTTGCGTAATTTGTTTCATAACAAAGGTCACAGCAATGGCTTTGTGCCCTGACTAATTTTAGATGCCTTCCCTCAAGGCCACAGGAGCTTAGTTACCGTTTGGACAAACAACTTGCAAAGCTTTGTAGAAATTTTAAGTCCTGAGCTTGAGTTATAAGCATTTGAAAATATTGCACAGTATGTAATGTATTTATTGCTCTGCTACTAAATTATGAATATTATTGTCATTCTGGTAGAACACACCTCAAATGATCAAAAGTTATTTCATACTTAAAAGTTCTGTTAGTAACAGGCTAAAGTCGTTGAAGTTTTTCAACTTTTTTCAAGGTTTAAAAGAGGTCTGTGTTGTACTGGAGGGCAGCTGCTTTTCACATCTGGCTCAGACTCATGGAGAGGGGTAATCTTGGCAAAAACTGTCAACTGTAGGTAGTCTAGTCCACAGCCAGGTTGTCACAGCCTTGTCTTGCTTGTGCAGTTGCATCCATCGAACTCCTGGTGAAGTGCAAGTTATGAAGAACCAGCAGCCCAGTGCATTCCAGTGGCTTTTATGCAAGCATAAAATAAAGTTTGGGGGATAAAAGACAGTATGGGTGAGATGCATCTCTTTTGTCTTGGCGGAGACAGACTTTCAATTTGCTGCAAAAGCCTATGATAGATTAGTCACATGTAAAGGCCAAGAAACCTGGGACTTATCACAGTTCATAAATATCAGCAGGGTGGGAGTTAAGTGGATATGCCAGGCTCTTTTCAGTGGTACCCAGTGACAAAAGGAAGGACAATGGCTACAAACCAATGGGCACAAACACAGGGTGATCCATCTGAACTTGGGAAAGAACTTTAAAGTGAAGGTGACAGAACACAGGAACAGGGTGCCCAGGGAGGTAGTGGAGTCTCCTTCTCTGGAGGTATTCAAAACCTGCCTGGACATTTTCCTATGTGACCTGCGTACAGAACCTGCTTTAGCAGTGGGGTTGGTCTGGATGAACATCAGAGGTCACTTCCAACCCCTACAATTCTGTGATTCTGGAAATATTGTCCACACATACTATATTCTAACCAAGGGCTTGTATTAATTTGATCATTTATAGGACTGAGCAGGTATCATTACAGTTGCTGAGCTGCTTCTTTCCGGAAGTCACCTGGATTTTGCTGGGATAAATATAAAACTGTATTTTAAATTAATTTGTTAATGATGCTCAGAACCATAATGAAGACTTTGTTTGGCATGTATGCAGCAGCTCTATTATCTTTGAACCATCACCGAGATTTCGTATAGGCAGAAAGATCTTCATCTTCCAGAGGGCAGTTATGGATAATGCATTGACCCGCTGATGACTGAAGGTGTTTTCATAATGCGTTATCTCATAGAGATGAAGGAACCACGTACAGTTAAATTATGAATTCTGCTGGACAGTTTGGGATTCAGACACTGTTCTTTAACTTTGAAAAAATCTCAGATAAACTGATGCCATTATTTAAATGGTGCCATGAAAATACTGGCGCTGCAAGGACTGCTTAGTATTCTGATCTATAGACGGGAGGGAGCACAAGAAAGGGAAATCAGTCGCCTTATATTCCCTATGAAGATACTGATTTGGTTGTTTCTCCTGCCCTTAGAGCTAGAAGAGCTACAGACTGCTCTTGCTGAGGGCTTGTATCACCCTGCGCGGCACAGAAAGGCTGAATACCAACACCTACTCATTGTATCCTGCAGCTCCTTTAAATGTGCTCTGGATTTTCTCAGCAGCATCAAGTTTGTGTTGAGTGCTGATAGAACAACTGGAGCAGACTCTTGCAAACACCTGCAGTTTTACCAGAGGGAAGTTTTAATAATTTTTAATAATTTGTCACTGGATACATGCAGTGTCTTCCCATATTATTACATAGAAAAGCTTTTCACAGATATTTTTAAAAGTGCATTTTATTGTATCTTTCTACTGTTGCCAAAATGATTTTTTTCATAAACCTTTGAGCTACAGAAATGTGCATACAAGTTAATAAATATTTATAAACTCCCGTATAAACACACATATATTGTGGGAATACAAGAAAAAACTGTTCAGAGCAGCAGCTGTATTGTAAGGTAAGCAGGCATGAGAACCAAGAACACCTTCGGAAGAAGAAACAACATCTCACGGCTCTGATTGGATAAGCGCCTCTGTGAACGGTTGGAGAATGTTTTGTTAACATGTAAATGGAATAGTGCTTAACAATTAAGTGGACTAACAGCTTCTAACCACATTGCTGTGCTGTTGCGTCTCTAGCATGTCCTGAGAGTCCAGAGACTTCCCCACAATATATAAACACAGATATATTTATATGTTTTCATAAATATATATTGGGTTTTGCTCAACAGGTCTGACAAACTATGTTCTCAGTTTGAACATGCATACACACACACAGGGGAAAAGTGGGATTCTGTTATTTCTTTTTTTTATTATTTTGACCTTCAAGGAGCAAAGTGTCAAATTCATTTACTGAAGGGAATTTTATAATATATTGAACATAGGGATTTATAAATAGACTCCTTACAATGGAATTTTTATAATGTATTCATAAGAATAACAATTCTTAACAGGTAAAAAATCATTAACTATGTCACATGCTTTTTCATATGGTTTTAGTTTCGGTTTGTGTTATGTCAGTAAGCCCTGAAACTTTCCTTGTGTTATGAGTCTAAAGGAAGTCTGGATGGGAAACCTGCAAATATGCAAATCTGCAGGTTATTTTACATGAAAAATCTCTTGCATATTTATTGAGGCCAGTGTTATGGTAAGTCTGCATTTTGTAATAGCACTTGAATCATGAAATTATCTAGTTAATAACATTTTGTTGGTTCTGCTTTATTATAAACTAATTCTATTGAATTATTTTAGCTTTCAAGGCAGGTTTACATTTCTGTTGGGTGACAGATTCTATACTCTGTTTGTTCCTGTCATGCTCGCTCATATGTGTTGAAGACAAGATAACTGTGAGTAATATAATGCATTCTCTCTGGTAGTATTTAAGTGTTCCCTGATTGGGGCACAACACTGTTCTGTTTCTCTAAAGAATGCTCTTGTGGATAAAATATTGGGGATCTTAAGAACTGAGATCTTCAACAGAGATTTCACCTGTGAGCAGACATTCATGCTCGGTCTTGATATTAAGATGTAGGACTACTGGGACGTGAATTTATAAGTCTCAGCTTAACTGATGGCTTTCCATACCAGGCAGGACTGCAGACAGACAGTATGGCAGCTGTTTGGGCAGGATGCATATCAGTGGTAGAAATCGCCTTGTTTCCAGCTACTCTTCATGATGTTTTTTCTGCATCTGGATGTCGCCCATAAAACTTCCTTTCTAATTAGGGTTAATAAGACAATAAGATAACTCCAGTTTGTTAAGTAGTCACAGAAGCCTGGGAAGGCAATAAAGATGGAGAAGTCCAATTACCCTCATTATTCATTCCAGGTATGAAATTAGAGGCTATTCTTCACTACTGAAATGGTGAATACAGTATTATTTATTAAATATGAAACCTATTACCTTCTTCAGTCATTTATTGCCTTCACAAGGAAATTTCTGTTTGTAGCAAATCGTTGGCTTACCATTTACTGTTGTGTCTTCTACACAAATAGTGAACTTTTTTTTTTTTAAATCTGTTCCAAAAATTGTGCATAATGTTCTTGTCATAAAAAGGATATACATCCAGTTGTAGACTGACATGATGCTCTTCTATAAAGTAAATGCAGGGCTTTTGTTTTCAATTTTGTTGAATGAAGACTGCTTATAAGTTATTAAGTTGATTCATACGTAAGTTTTCAGCTTATGAAATATTCGTAAAGCTCTGTTTATGCTAGACTGTACTAAAGCCCACTTCCCTGAATCTGCCTGTAAGTTGAATGTAGTTTCACTAGTGATTTGAAAGAGACTAGTGATGTTTTGGAGAGGATAGGAAAGGATGGTGAAAGGATACCAGCTGTCCTAACTATGAGATCACCTTATGACCTTTACTGTGTCAGGATGTGCAGCCTCAGTAGGAAACAGGCAAGACGCAAGGAATAGCTAAGGCCTAGATTAAATAGTAATAATAATAATAATAATAATAATGCTTAGAGACCCATACCCAGCACCTATTTAGGCTGTTATGTCCCCATTGCCCTCTTTAGGAAATTAGGAGCTTAGGTTCTCTTTTCAGACTGGTACCTGGGTCAAGATACAGACAAACTCAGCCAGCACAGCTGAGAACAGTTGTTACCTTTCTACAGGTTGGTGTGTTTTGTTAACTGACTGTGCCAGCCTGCTCCTCCATGATGGTGAGCCTAAACTCACAAAAATCTGCAGGAGGCTGGCCCTGCATGGACCACCATGATGCTGTTGCCCTCATGGCACAGCCTGCTGCCCTTGGGTTTTGGAAGAACCGAACCTGCTGCTCTGGCACCTCCTGCCTCTTCTTCCTTAGGACTGCTGCCAGAAGCTGAGAAATGCAAACAAAAGAGGGAATGCTTTAATTCTAACATTTACAGATTAGCAGAGTGGAACCGAACGAGAGAAAGGATGTACGTACTTCCTTATAGCTTTTATGACTCACCTGTCAAGTATCACCAATCCATAGAAGGACTAATCAGAAAGATCACAAGAATCCTTGCTATGTTAGGCAATCTACACAGAGTTTGGACTGTGAACAAATTCCATTTGTGGTAGGTAGCGTGGTTAGGTCATCTACACATAGCTGCTACTGATGCAGGCTGTGAGACACCTGTCAGTGAGGAGTAGGAGCAGGCGTGGGTCCTTCCATGTCTCCTTCACAGAAGAAGCACAGGCCTGCTCAGCACTTTGTTGCTGCGTTGGGACAAATGAGCATAAAAGGTGAAACCATGAGGTGCATGCACACAAAGTCAGCCACTCAGATGGAAATGGCATAGTGACGTGTACTGTGATACACCACTGTGTACTCAGGACAGGAGTTCTCTCAGCCTAGCACGCTGTGAGTCATTTGCAAGTTCAAGTTCTGGGATGGAGTCGCTCTTTTTTTCCATAAACTGGCTTTAAAAGTGATTAGAGGTAAGCTTGTTTCTTGGTATTTTGTTGCAATTAAAAGTTGTCTCAGAAGCTGCTTAGTAAGGCGAAGAATCACAGTGGTTGGGAGGATGAGTGACCATGGGGCGTTCAGAGGTGCAGCTTCTTTTACACTAATTGTTCACAGATATCTCAGTAGATTCTAATTCACATTCTTTATATGCAAAGTGTGACAACTTAAAAAGAAATTGCTGTGATTCAATTTAAAAAAATATCGTTGCTGATGATCTTCCTTTTTCTTCTGTTTAGGAACCAGTAAAGAAGAATGACTGAACCAACTACAAAGACAAAATAGATTTACAATTTACAGAGTAGGCACGCATCAAAGAAGTTGGCTTAATATTTCAATCAAGAACATGGGAAAATGGAAGTAGTGCTTTTAACTTGCCATAATAAAAACATGTAACCAACTTTTGCCTGCATAAAACACTACAAACAGGAAAAAGGACTCTGCTGTAGGAAAGCATTTGGATTTATTCTGAATTTCCTTCACATAAAATGAGGACAGAATGACAACAGTGACAATCTAACGCATGATGAAATTTACCAAATGGAATTTTATTTTTTTAGTTGGTGGAATTGTAGTTTACATAGCTGATATTGGAGTGGATTGCTGGGTTGCTAGTAAATATTTCTATGAGGGACAATATTGTTGGGCTATACTGATACTCTGTTTTAGGGGCTTTTCATCACTAATAACTCAGATATTCAGTTATCAATGGTTTAAAAATGACTGGAAAGGTACTGCTCCTGGGAAGCTAGATTGGATCTTTCTAGTTCATTTCTTCCACTGTGGAATTTTTATAAGGTAAGCTTTGTCTTTTTGTTGTTTGTTTTTAATTTAAAATGAAAAATCATACTGCTTTTAGCCTTTCTTAAAAAGAAAATCCAGTGGCAGGCTGTCATGTTAATACAGCTCCAGGGATATTTGTGTTAACAATCATTGGTCCATATAAGTGTATACTGCTGCTTATGCTTATGTCAGGTTTTGCTGCACATGCAGATTTCTATTTAATTTTACTTACCAATAATAATCTATTTGATTCATCAACCTTTTGATCTGGTGTATTTATAAACAATTCTTGCTTTACAGAGAAATACTGTCTTAACTGATAAAGAAATGTAAGTAGTTAAAGTGATGCTAGGAAGAGAATTCATTTGGTTACACTAAGTAGGAGAGAAAGCTGATGAAAGAGCTAATTTGTAGATCCAAGTGTCTATCAATACTTAGAAAACTACAAGATTTGGGAGAGAAATGAATTGTTAAATACTGAAGAAGGATACATTCTATAGGGACCGAGTTAATGGTGATTGGTTCCTTTGTTTCCTGGCAGGTACACGTCCAGAAAAAGTTTAAGATATTACACATGTAAGATTCTTTAACTTCTGTGGTGGTATTGCTGTAGAATTATCACTGTCACTACAGAAATCATTTGGGATAAGGTTTGACTTTTGTTTTCAAAACAATTTGAAAGTTTTTAGTGAAAAGTCCTGATGAACTGAATTTTAATTATTTTCTGTAAGTTACATGCAATAAACACAGGAAGATAAAGACTCCTCAGAGACACTTAATAAAATTCTTATTTTAAAAGCCTACTTTAAATTCCTATACAAATTAAAGGAAAGTAGTGAAATGTATACTTATGTCAATGTAAAACTTCCCCTTGCACACACATTTTATTCATTTTGTTATCACGGCCTAAGCAGAATGTTGAAGGTTTTGCTCACCACAGTTAACTTTTACTTCTCAATGTTCTTTTTTCTTTTGCTCACCAGCTTTACTTTCCTGCTGTTCCTCATACAATCCTGAAGCCCTAGACTTCACAGAGGAGCACTTACTGCCAAGTTTAACTTTTTTTGGTGTCAGGCATTAGAAAAGCTTTAAAATACTTCATTTCAAAGGGCAAAAAAAATCCCTCTTCAATTTTTCTGAAAGGCTTCATGTTCAGCACGGTTTGGTTCATGAGTGAGGTACAAAGATCCAGCCATAGGAACTGTACCACATTCTGCCTTTTAGGGAGATGTCTCAGGGCCTGCTGTAGCACCCCCCTTTTTGTCCATTTCCAAGGCTCTTAATCTTCAGTTTTCAGTTAACCTGAGCTTGTTTCTTCCAAAGGAAATTAAGGCTCTGACATCAGTTTCTTATAACTCACGATAAACGTTAAACCAGCAACTGCAGTGGCATATGGTAAGCCTCCCTTCTTCCCCTTTCTCTACAAGGACATCATTCTCCATGATTTGTACTCCATTCTGGTTTCACCTTTGGTTTAACACACCCAGGTTGCCCCTAAAATCTCCCTCTGATTTGTGCCTATCTTTAAAAACTCTCCTCTTCAACATTCAGATTTAAGTTCTGATCATCTACAGTTCTTGGTGATATAATTTTGATTTAACTCTTACATCAATTCATCTATTCAAAACATTGCCTCTACAGACACATTTTCAATGGATTACTTTATTTCCTACTCTTTCAATTTTAATCACACATTTTCACTGTTTCCTTCATACAATGAGCAACACCTTCTCTTAGCAATTTGTTATCTAGTAAATGTAATTTTGTCTTCTGCAGTCAGTGCAATGTGGCTGTCTTGGTCCTCTTTTTCTCTATTGGGCAAATTGTGTTTTTTCTTATGCTGCTGCTTCTGCATGGAAAAAGTTCCCAGGTTGACACATATAACTGAGCCGCTCCTCAAAATTCAATAGTGTGATAATGCACACTGTAAGGTGTAAGTTGGTATCAGCAAACTGACACCTGTGCTTGTACCTTGTCATCAGCTATTATATACTTCCTATTTCATTTGTTTTCTTAAGTGTATGCATGCACACTCCCCTCCTGTCCCCTCCTCAGTCATCTGATATACCCAGTCGATGTAGACAGTGAGTCTCCCAGGTTTATCTCTATAGTCAATACAGTCAAAATAGATATTGTCAAGAGTCAGGTCATAACTGTTAAGGTGAGCTTACCCAGAGGGCAGGAACCTATCTTCTTCACCCATCAAAGAGGGAAATGGGAGCCTAGACAGTAAATATTGACTCAGCCAGTGAACTGAGGATGCCTGAATTTGGAAGATATTAATACACTTCAAACTCTCTTCCTTCATTTCTTTATTCTCTTATGCCTTTTATACCTCTTGCTTTGCCTTTGAAACAGGGAATTTCATTGTATTCTGTTTGTACAGTACTCAGATTGATAGAAGTTCATCCAGTTTTTTTTTTTTAATCACAATATCAGTGCTAAATAATAACTGTGGAAGTTATATGCATATATATATGAATGTATTATATATATATATATATATATATATGAAAGAAATTAAAACTAGTCAATATCTAATGAAGCTTTATTTTAATGAAAAGATAACTGACATACCATTACATTTTATACAAAATGTTATTCTCTGAATGGAGTTTTTAAAGACAAAATGGAGTTGTTAAAGTATTAGTCATACCAACTAAAATTATTTTCAACTTGACCTATTTAAGTGGGTCCCAAAGATGTTAATAGAATTGAGAACAGACTGAAGCATAACAGCCAACATTAAGAAGATAACACAATCAGTGAATTTGGAAAAAGGGAATATTTCCCTGGAGCAGCATATGAATACACTGACTTGTAGCAGTTTGCAGCATCAGTCAAGAACACTTAAGGAAGACTAAATTTTATCAAGAAATAACATTCCTGTCGGAACAGCAGGCCACAGCAGCAGCCGTTGTGATATTGGTAGCTGCTACTGTACCTCTTGGTGCTTCAAGCAAGGATCAAAATGCCCCACAGCTTTAAACAGATGAAAAACATTTTTTTGCTTATTTGTAGATACAAATTATAAGTACATGAAACAATAAAGCAACCTCTTAAATCCAGTATTATTTCATGTCATTTTTAAAAAAACGTGAAGAGAAAAAGAGAAGATATGCAGAATGAAGTTGTTAGGAAGGTATTTAAGGTACAAAGTCAGAGAGGTACAGATAGTTAATTGAAAGTGGAAAGTTTGTAAGGCTACTGTGAGTTAGAAGTCACAACATAACGTGTACTTGCTCGTGCTTTCTTAATGCAAATGTACTGCCCCAAGGTATTGACAGTCACTTCAGTTTCATGGATTGAATCCAAGCCTTTTGATACTTGGAAGATTAAGTTTAATGCGCAGCAAGGAAGAAATTTCTATTGATTAAAGATTTATTTAAAGCTGCAAATTGTGACTGCCTGATCAAAATTTAGAAGGGACAACTGTTGCTACCAGGTGTCTCTCACATCCTTCTTCCATGGAACTATACATTCTAGCTGGCACCCAAATCTTCATTGGTGTAATTTGATGAGATAGGACATATGCTGCAGTACTGGGACTGATTAGTCTCTTGGGGAATAGCCTTTTCCTAACCTCCACCTGACCCTCTCCTGACATCCTGTTCCCTCAGGTCCTGTCACTGTCACCAGAGAGCAGAGCTCAGCGCTGCCCCTCTTCTCCCCTTGTGCGGAAGCTGTATTTCCATATTAATAAGCATATTTCTATAGCAGCACCATGTTTCAATCCCCATAAACTGTTTTCATTATCTTGTGGCTTCACGCATCACCATTAGTGGCTAGTTTATAGCCTTGTTGCCTCCCATGCCCAGACATCCCTTATCATCTTACACACTACTTTTTCTCCTGCATCTCCACATTTCAGGATCTCTGCTATCAAACCAAAACTGTTTTTCTCTCTCCTATGTCATAATGCCAGTCATACATATCTCATTCAATTTAGAGTAGCAGGTTAGTGTTACCCATGTAAAACCATGACAGTGCCACACAAAAATAAACAAAAACATCAACTAATCGGTTAGAAAAAGATACCTTTTTTTTTTTTTCCTCTACAGAAAATCCAAGGTAAGCCAATTTTGGCTACATGAAGGAAAAAGGTTGCAGGCAGGTCAAGAAAACTTCACTTAAGCCAGACAAGCAGAATTCTCAAGGCTTTGCAAAGCCAGTACAATGCTTACAGCCTACTGCTAGCAATGACTTGTTTGTGCTTATTGCTGTGCTTCAGTTCTAGCCTACTGCCTGCACAGCCACTTGAAATCAGGTAACTGGCAGAAGGCAGCATCGCTTTGCTTTATGATGGGAAAGAACTGGCAGGCAGTAGGCTATTGGCAGTGAGAACCCATTCCTCTGGAACTGACACATTTCATCACTCACAGGTAGAAAGTTTTCTATCTCCCCTAGCTTGAGAACCAGTACTATGAGCCAGATCATCCACCAGGGCCAAGCATGAGTGACTCCATCAAGTACAACAGAAATACCATAATTTGCAGCAGCAGGATTTCTGGTGCTTCATCAGGTCACAGCCACCATCCTGTTTTTCTAACACAGGTGTAAAAATTACCATGTACAAGATCTGGTTTCTTCCTTAGCTATCAAAACATTTTTAAAATTACAACTTAATTGTTCCCTTCCTTCTGACATGCTATAGCTCCCTTCAGGCCTGAAGCAAAAGCCTTGGAAACAGGAAAAAAATCTAGGTTTTATTTATCTCCAAGCATGGCATTAGAGATATCCTGAATGGAATAAGTTCTTCACTTAGTCAGTCAACTGGCTAACTAATTCCATGTATTTTTGAGTTTCCAGTTCTCTTAGAAGAAATTTTCATTTAGTCTTAATTGAAAATAAACTATTACTGTTCTAAAAGTCATTCAGGTGCAGTCATTCGCTGAAGCAAATGTTGTGTTTATGTAAAACTACTTAGATAATAGAATCTGCAGTCCCAGGAGATCCATCTGTCTTGAAAGTAGTTTTCTGAAATTACAGTCTTTGTGACTATTTAGAAAAGAACACTTGAGTGTTTTTTTTTATTTTTGATGAAATCCTGTTGTATGTTTGTAGTTCATTAGATATTATCCTCGGGGTTTATAGACCTATATGCACTGGATATTCACAGCTGGGTATTCACTAATACCCTTAGAAGAATATGAAGAAAGTAAATAAGTATCTTTGATAAAGTGAGAAAAGCTGCTCAGGGAATTTTTAGAATTTTTTTATCTTTCAACATATAAAAACCCAACAAAGTACTACTCATGATGTTTATTCAAGCAAGTCTCCTGCTCTTTTACTGGTTTTACATTGCATCAGTATCAGTGGGCATAAATGAATATCTGATATCACCAACACCAGTCAGATACTGGTCCAGATTTTATCTTAGCAGAAGGTACATTCAAAGATAAAATATGGATGAAGAATGAAATGGAAAATAATTTGTTAGCCAATATAAATTTATAGTATTGTATTTTAAAAAACATGGTCTAACCAAGTCTCTTTCTTATTTTTTCCCCCCCCTTTTTAAATAGATATTGGTTTGCCTTGAAGTATGGCTGCCAAGCAGCTTTTAGACAAGACAGCAGTGGAGATGTATCAGAAACAGACCCTCCCAACATCATTCATAAACAAGCTATTGAAGTACTGACTGATATTAACATGCTCAGGGTATTCAAGTCTTTCCTTGAGACCACACCACAGCTCTTTGTTCAGATTTATGTACTCATGGAAAACAACAACCATAATTTCTATCAGTGTGAGTATTTGTTTCACTGTGACTTGGAAGTTGAGGATCTTACCCAAAAGCTTAACTGTATAATCAACAAATGTACAGATATTACAGTTATGAAATACAACAGAGAGTTTAGCTATGCAGTTATTATACCAAAACAGAATAGATAGAATTCTTACCCATATCCTGGGCTTGCTAGGAAACTCCAGAGGAGTGAATCTCCCGAACAGATCCTTCCCCACTGGTAGTCAGCTCTTAAATGGGTCTAGGAGAGGTGGAAACAGGCTCCACCCCTTCCGGCAGCACAGGTGAATTGCCTTCACCTGTGCTCCCAGGGCTGACTTGCCTCAGGTGATCAATCAAAGGTTCAGGCTGTGATTCAGAAGTTCCCATACAATAACTCATATTATTGGATACTATTTTAAAAATATTTTGGTAAATGTATACTTCACTGTATAATTGCTTTGCATTTCATTAAAATTTCAGTCTGAAGAGATCTGCACTGTTAGGAAGGGTTCTTCGACAGTCCATGACTTCACAGGTACTGAGATAAAATGCTCAGATGAATCTCATCTTAAATATGACCACATGAAGGATCAAGTCTCAGCTATAGATGCTATACATAACCATAGCATCTTTGTCAACATCAGTTGCTCAAACTCAACTATGTATGGGTATAAGGTATTTCCAACACCTTACGTGTTTCTAAGTCATCTGTGTGTGCAAATGACAAACACAGTGCACATTTATGAGATGAGAAACAGCAAGAGATCCCAAATAACAATAGATGTCTAGATTTAGGCAACTAAACCGAGCCTTAAAATTAGTGTGTCTTGTTTAGGAGCACAGAGGATACATGAAGTTGGTACGAAGATAGTGCAAAGAAAGCATATACTTGTCCAAACATCCAGAAGTTCTAATGTAAAAGAAATTCCGTTTCTTAAGTCTAACATTTGTTTTTGTGTTTTGTTTAGATGCTGCCATTATTATTTCATTTTGTGGTATTTCCTTTTCAATGGTTGATTATCAAATATCACTACGAAAATCTCTGCCTGATAAGGAGGAATTGCAAGTGCTTCCCAAGTTAGTGTATCTCTTCTATAAACTGTTCTCCATCACTTCTTGGATACTCAGTATTTCACTGATCACTCTACTGAGTGTTAGAAGTTCTGTAATTCTGCTGATACTTCTTTGGAGCTGCAGTTTTGCCTGGACTTTGAAACAGCACACAACATTTTGCAAATCCACAGAGATGGAATATCTGTACAGAACTGTTGTTGGAATCATTCTACTTTTTACTTTTTTTAACATAAAGGGGAGAAAAACAAAAGCTTGCATTTCTATTTATTATGCTACTCACACCCTTGTAACTGTAGGTATTTTGCTTGTATGTTTGTTTTGGAAACCTGCTGTTATCAAGGAAGTGCATCTTACAATTGTGAGCATCTTAACTATTCTCAGTCGGGTGTTAGGTATTATTTTTCTTGCTGTTTATTACAAGTATTTTCATCCCACTACTTATTGCAAGCATCAGACATTTTTTGACGAAGTGGATAGAAGGGGAGCAGACAATATGGAAGTTGGTAGATTTCAAAATTTCATAATGCAATGATCAGTATAGGTTTTGGTGTAGACTGCAAAGCAAAAACTTGCTGCAGAGAGTGCTTCTCTGTCTTTGTTTCTTATGTATTTTTACTAAGCAGCACTGGAGTTATTGGCTCTGAATAACTTTTCCACGATGTAATATAAAGTACCTTTATAACATGAATATTTTTCTATGTGTTAGTCAGTGTTACGTTTTCTAAAAGGAATCTATTTATGCATCCGATCCAATTCACTGTTTTAGTTTTTAGCAGTGCATATAGAACATAGGAAAACCTAAAAGCAAGTCAAATGAAATTCAGCATTACCAATGTATTCTGTTTATTTATGTTAATTCTGTTAAAAGCAAGGCTTAATTTTCTTGCTGGAAGGAAAGAGAAATATTGAGGGGTGATGATCTGTGAGCTGGCTGTTTCTTCCCATTACTGTAAGAGTTGCAGTTTTTATATAAATGAGCATAGATACAAACTTCACTGCCTCCTCCTTAAACATCCCGTGAAGAAGAATGGCTTTGATTTATGACCCAATCACTGTCATGCTACAAGAAAACATGAGGAGTTATTTTAAAGCATTTTATCTTCTAGGTGTTTTAATGACTCCTTTATTGCTTTTGTTCTGCCAATCTTTCACACACCCCTTATTTAGGAGCGATGCCAGTTTGTTGTTCTGGACTATAATAGCATCTTGAGTGATTTATTGACAGCAATACCTGTCTCAGAAATAAAGGAAGAGCTATCTTCCTTGAAGCTTTCCTATGCTCTGAGCTCCAGGATATAATACTTAAATGCTAGCTTCCACTGAAGGACGAAGCTATGCAAGGTATGAAGTGGTACAGTTTCTTTAGCCTTTGCCACCAGCCACAGCTTTTTCAGAAATAAAACCTAAGGTGAAGTCTCTCAGAGCTGCTGGGTTTTTGAGTAATTTGAGTAACGAAAAATGGGCTTCTCTCCTCTGATAATTCACATTTCCAATTAGCATAGCCACAGGCAAAGGGAGGATACAGCGCTTGAGAAAGGAGACTAGAGATAAGCACAGCTGATAAACTTTGCCAGGAACAAAATCTATTAGAATTATTGATTGACAGCAAACATCTCTTAAACTCTAGGGGGAGGGCTGATGCTTTGGTTGATACTTAGGGTGCTGAAGAGTTGTTTTCTGTGCTGCTTCGGCAGCAAAATACATGATTTTAGTGTGAATATACTACTCTTTTTCTACATTAAATAAATAAATAGGATTCTAAATAATGAAGACTAAAATCCCTTTATTTCTGTCTACACTTTTATTGTTTGTTCATCTGAAATCATGAGGAAGGGATTACGGGAAGGTAGGGTAGGAAAGTAAGAACATCATCTTGCAGAAAAACTACTTTTTCCTTTTCCTAACTACTACTTGGAAGAAGACCTCGAATCTTGCACATTATCTGGGAAGCAGATCTCTAGGGAAACATGAGCTTCTGAGAAACTGAGTGTCAGACTTCCAGCCCTGGGGCCTCCAGGTTGTCTGCCTGCTTGCCAGATGCCAGAAACGTGGAGCCTGAGTTGTGCTGGAGGAAGGTTAGTTTATGCTGAAACAAAGCAAACTTGTCCTAATGACTTTTTTTTTCCCTCCCTTTCAGTAAACTGACAAATCCCAACTGAAAGTATTTCATTGTCATATCTCTCTCTGATTCTTAACACTTTTTTTTTTTCCTTCCATGAAAATAAATGTGTACAGTGTGCTGGCTTCTATTTCTCCCCTTTTGCATTCTCCTTATGTCTCATCATTCCCCCTTCTGAGCTACAGAAGAGGAATGTTATGTGGAAGTTAATTCGGCAACAAAGGGATCTATATCATAATTTATATCACACTAGCACACACACACCTTACACTTAACTTTCATTCCCCATTTTATGCTTGTGCGTTCTTGAGGATCCAAGTTCATTCTTACTCTAAACTTTGGAACACATCCTTTGGGAAGCCGTATGGGTTCTTTTCATAAAGCTTAAGCAGATCTTTGGTACCCTACCAAAGATAGCAAAATGAAAATCTCCATTTTGCCACTATCAGTCAGATGATCTTGAAGAAAAGTGAAGTGAATTCTTGTCAGCATATCCCTTGTAGACTTTTTTCCCCACAGTTTGAATATCCTTCCTTTCTTCCTGACCTTGCATTCAATATTTTCTCTTAATCAATGAATTCAATGACTTTGAATATCATCCTAATTCATTAGGTCATCCTAATTCATTATAGCAGAGAGGGAAAGGCAAGAAATTATATGGATTGGTTATAGACACATTTCATACCATCAGAGGCCACTCAGTCAAAACAAATAAACCCCCACTTCACCAAGGTGTAAAGTTCAAACAATAGATATTATACATGTCCTTTCTGTTCCCTGACTACTCTTAAAATTCAGCTGCCACTCAGTTTATGCATTGCATCTGACCTTGTCATTTTATTCTAACTGCAAATTGAAAACAAATGTTTTTTCTTTCTTTTTTAAAGAACATTTTTTAGGTCCATTACATCTTACAAGAAGTATTTTAATAAGTTAAATAAAAATAATAAACAATTTCTTCCTGTTTTGACTACTGTCAGGCCTAAGTAAGAGGGACAACATTCAGAGTTGTTTTAAGTATCCTACTAATATTCAATGTGGTATTTGATGGCATTGGTGAGCTCACCTGATGTACCACAGATAGCACTGATTTATGAAGCCATAATTGGGGTTCCAATAAACATTTGTCAAAATAATGTATTCATTCAAACCAAAGTCTTCTTTATTTATTCATATAAAAGAGCACTTAACTTTCAACAAAGAATTGCTAGCCATCAAAAACACTCCATAAACAGAGGAAATTTATGAAGACGCAGTACCAGAGGGTGATCAGTGAAAGACTAAAGTTCACTTTAACTCTTCAGGGTGCTCCACTCTGCCTCTTCCTTGTTTTTTTGGACTGTACATATTTCTTCCTAAGAGCCCCAAGCCCAGAGGTTAACCTTTGTATATTTACACATTCAAAGTACTAGTCATCTTTTCTACCATAGTCTGATATCTCAAAGACTTTCAAACCTATGATCTTTCATTTTCATTATATGGTGTAGAAGTACGTATGCAACACAAAGGTAGTTGGTTTTAGGCTTACCAACATTTTTGCCTGAGCCTGAAGCAGTGTATGTACTTGTATGTCATTCCAGCTGAATAATTTTCCACATTCTGCCTCTCTCCACTCTTCTGTATTTCCTTCCTATTAGTTTAGCTTAATTTTATAGATTTTTTTTTTTTTTTAGTAGAGGGATAGCAAAATAGCAGAGATGTACAACTGATAATTGAAGTACAGATATCCCATTGGGATCCATCTTCTTCAGATTTTTGTTTTGTTTTTAATCTCCAGATGTCTGGCATTTAACAAATAGGAATCAGTGAAGATCCTTTCTATGAGAGTCTTACATTCATCAGCTTAGCAAGAATGCACCTTGTTAGGTTAATGACCAGCACTTTAAACTTTCCTTAACCTGACAACTGTTGAAACTACAAACTGCACCAGCCTTTTGATATTATGTGTTGTAGCTAGGTTATGCATGTGTTTGTATTTTCAGGAACATTTTTGTTTTTGAGTACACACATTTGTAAATAGTAGAGCAGAATAAGAAACCATAGTAAAGATTTCAGGTGAACAGTCATGTCTTAGTTAAATGATAGATTCTTATTTCACCAATCTCAATATACAGTCTTCATCATTATTGTCACTGTTACTGGCACTTTGTCTAGAAGTTCAGGATGACATGATAAGGAAGAACTTATGTCAATTGGAATGAGAATATAACGAAAAGTTGTTAGTAAAGTCCTCTGTACTTGTACTAGATTTTGCTTAGATTTAATTTGCCAACATTATTCTAACATACTTTCTCAGCTGAGAATAAAAGAACTTATTCCAAAGCAAATTCTCTTTGCATTCTCTACCATGCTACTGACTACACAATCTTAACTGAGTACAACATTACAGCTTGCAAAGCTAAAGGTAAGTAATGAGCACAAAGGAAGATAGGATAGACCATAATGTGGAGAATGTTCTTTAAAAATGACTTACACGATACTAAAAATTTGCATTGGCTAATGAGCTTGGGCTTTGGGAACCAGTTATTTTAATCAACAGCTTTTTTTTTTTTTTTTTTTTTTATAAAGACAGCAACATAATTTTTTTTTCCCCCCTCCCCCCTCAAGTCTCCTGTCTTCTTCTACTGTTCTTTTCATAAAATTCACCAAGCTGTTGAAAAGAAATAAACAGGGTAGTTCCAAATTGTGGGGAAAAAAAGTTGTATCAAATTTTAATTAGTGGCTTAATGTCTGTAACTATAGTAAGACTTTAACAATAATTGTAGCTATCACTAATTTATGCCTTTGAAAAATGAAAACCTCAAAGCCCCCCCTCCAGCTTATTTTCTCTCAGGCAAATAAATGTTTATATGTATATAGTCAGTATTGTAATTCAGGCAGCTAGGTGTGGTCTTCCTCAGTCTGGATGAACAACATAAGACTCAAATAATGTTTTGGTAGTGAGGGATTGTGCATGGGATAACAGAAGTGAATAACTCACCAGCCATTTCATAGGCAGTAGCTTCTCACTCATCAAGCAGGGCTGGGCCTGCAGGGTTCAGGTTGAAGTGGTCTATGTGAAAGATGGATGGCACCTTGTTTTCTACTTTGTGGCTTCTTAAGCTTGGCTATTTTGGGAAAGGATGGAGCAAGTTTTCAGCTTAAATGCTTCATAGAGAAGTAACAGAATCCCATGAAAAACACTAAGCCTGCCACTTCCAGCTTCAATTTCTCAATAAGATGAGCAGAACCAGTGACTGTCAAAATAACAATTTGCTGTTCAAAAAAAAAAACAAAAAACCAACACATCGATATGGTCAATGGTATCTCACGTATGTGTCAGACAGCCATATTCAGAGCCAAAAATTTAACTTCGAGATTAAATTTAAAGACTCCCAGCTGATTTTTTTTATTAAATAAAAGGTTTTTCTAGAAGCCAATTGAAGTGAAACTGTCAGTACTGATACAGCTTAATGTAGCTAACCTCACAAAGATGATGATCCCCAGGGCCTTCTGTCAGCTGTTTTCCAAATGGGTGGCTTCTGCACGTTCTGGTGCATGCAATTGTTCCTTCACAGATTCAGGACTTCACAATTCTCCTTGCTGAACTTCACATGGTCCATCTCAGCTGATTTGGGACATCAGTGAGATGAAGTAAGATGTATTAAGTTGGAAAACGCTAGTTATTCCTGCTTGCCATTCTTAGATCTGTAATCAATTACAAAATTAGTTAGATTAGTGGCTTATCTGACCACTCAACCATTTAACAGGGGTTGTCCTCTGTCATCTGAGCATCGGGATAAGTCAACTTTTTGGCATTCATAAATTAATATACTACATCTAGGCAGACAATTAACTTTAAGTCAACTGCAGGTCAACAAACAAGACAAAAATAGAAACATTTGAAAAAATCTCATTTTGATAGTGATGATGTTGGAGATGTACTGCTAACAAATGAAAAGAAAGCATTCTCAGAAGGCAGCATAGCTTCCAAACCGGGAATTGGTTATTGTATGTCAGAACTACAACATCTTCACATTTAGGTAATTTATTTACCAATAGAAAAGCAACAGTTGAAAACCTGTGCAGGGAGAAGCAGTGTTGTTTACCATATAAGCAACCATAAATGCGGGGGCTGCTTTCCATTTTCCTAATCCTTCTTTCTCATCTATGCTCTGTTGCCTAACAAGTAATCTACTTCATGCATAAAGGGATAATCAGCAGTTCTAGCACTCACTATGCAGTTGATTTTTTTTATTGCAGATGCTATTTTCAGAACAGGTTCCTTTAGGAACACATTCCTCACAGAATTACTAAAACTCCACAGTCTTTCAAAGAGGCATCAGGGCATGGCATGATCATTTTCTTGCATGGTAATCACCTCAGAAGTTCAGTTTGTGAAAACCGTTCTCGATTTTGATGACTTAGCTCACTAAGTGGTTATTAGAGAAAGGAATGTGATAAAGCGATGGAAATTGTTCCTAAGCAACATTTTGGATCACAGTCCTGTTTCCTACTCCCCCTGCTAACTGTGAGGGAATCTTTTTACCCAGTGTACAAAGATGGGAGGCTGACAATGCCAGGGGTAGAGTTTCTCTTTATCCATCAAAATTTACAACAAAAGTAAAGGCACAGTTTCAACCCATCCTGCCCCATCAGGTTAGACTCTTCATTTAATCAGTGCCAGCCTGAAAAACAAACAAACAAAATAAACCAAAAAGCAACTACTAGGAAGCAGGAATTTGAATGTTAAAAGCTTGCAGAAAAATTACAATCTGCCAATTGGCATCAGTGTTGCTCATTTCTGTTAGTGTTAAATAAAGCAAAATAAATGAAAAATTTCTTAATTCTGAGGTTAAATTGCCTCAGTTACCCCTAGATGAGAACTTCAGTAGTGCAAACAAGCAGCCAAAGCTCTGGCAAAGTACTCAACTCAAGGGCTTGAGCACATCCATAGCTCAACAGTAAATACAGATAGCACATAAATACAGGCTAAGGGATTTATATTTATCTGAAGAATTACAGAATTATTCTAAGATTATTTATGAATCTCTGATTGTTATAAAGAATATTTCAGTCCTCTATCACCCTAGACTTAACTTCAGTTTGATCAAATGCTGAATTGATTGAATAGTATTTGAATTGAGTTGATTGACAGGCTGAGGGAGTTGGGCTTGTTCAGCCTGGAGAAGAGAAGGCTCTGGGGTGACCTCATTGCAGCCTATCAATACCTGAAGGGAACCTACACCCACGAGGGGAGTAAACTCTTCAAAAGGGCTGACAACAGCAGGACTAGGGGAAATGGATCCAAGTTGAAGGAGGGAAGATTTAGGTTGGATGTTAGGGGGAAGTTCTTTACAAGGAGAGTGGTTAGGCCCTGGAACGGGCTGCCCAGGGAGGTTGTGGATGCCCCGTCCTTGGATGTGTTTAAGGCCAGGTTGGACGGGGTCCTGGGCAACCTGATCTGAATGTGTGTGTTTGGTGGCCCTGCTAGGCAGGGGGGTTGGAACTACATGATCCTTGAGGTCCCTTCCAACCCGGATGATTCTGTGATTCTGTGATTGAATAGTAGTTTAAATGAAGGCAGTTTAAGCTGTTTGAAGTTACTTGTGTTAATGAGTAAATCCCCTAACTTGGTAGATGGTCTGTAGATTTGGTCTCTCTTTAAGCAAGAAGACAGAGTGCATTTGAACTTCAAACTGACATAAGATTTTATTTCTCAACCTTTTTTCTGAGTGGATTCTTTATTGCAAGAATACCATGCAATTCTACAGCTCTGCAGCAAGCTGACCACAAGTCCTACCATTCCTACTTGTAAATAATACAATATAATTACAAAAGATATCCACAGGGAGACAAGCACGGTCGAACTGATATTACACCTTTCACACAAAAAAAGCAGATTATATCAAAACTTCAGACTAGAGTGAACTGAAAAGTAGCATACAACAGGTGCCTGAAATTGCTATTGATATGGAAAAGCAAATTACCACTCCCAATCTGCCCATCTCTTGTGGTAGGAGAACAAAGAGACATCAAAGAAAAGAAATGTGCCATTTTCAAAATGAAAGGAGAAACTTACATGCTGTGGAAACTCTTGCCATGGGATGTGTTGGATGATAAGACATTGTGTGAATTTACTCAGCTATTGGAGAAAAATTGCAGAAGAGAAATTCTTGGAGGTCTTACTGAATACCAGCTTTGTATCTATTGATACAGATACAGTTTTGTCAGAAACTTGTCTCATTTTCACACCATCAGTATAAAACACCCTTCCCCTCAGGAATGTACAAGCAGAAGACGTACAAGGCCTGGAGACCAAACATGTCACTGGATATTTTTCATATAAGGCAACTATTGGAATTTGTAGTCCAGACTCTTTGATACACCATTAATTTCGCAATGAAGCAGAAAACTGAACTTATGGAGATCCACGTCTTAAGCATGCAGTTCTAATTTGTTAATGATTACTTGAAAATGTTAATAGGGATGGGTTGCCACAAGCACATTAGCAGCTTTAAGGACAGCGAATAAGGGTAACCACCTACCACAATGTCAGAGTAAAGAAAATTTAAAAAGGCAAGTTGAAAAAAAACAACTGGATTTTTTTTATTTTTGCTTGAAAAAAACCACAATGGTTTGAATATGTCAGTTCCAATCACTGAACTGACACTACTGAATCCAACTTTCTCAGTGCGATACTAGGGAAACAGAAAATAAACAGCTCAACAGAGGAATGGCAATGGCTACTCCAATCCTCCCCAGAAAACAGACCAGTGCTGTCATTGCTCTGGTGTACATTAAGAAAACAAGGAAAGCCCTGGGAACCGTGAACTGACAGTGAAGTAGTACTATTCCACTTTCAGTGGAACACTACCTAAAAAGCTCCCTTAGAAGTAAAGAAAAGACTTAAATATGTGAGTGCCTTCAGAGCACCGAAGTGTGTGGAAGAAGGAGGGAGACACATATAGACTACTGCATGCACAGGAACAGAATACAAGCCTCTAAATTAAGGTGTACCCTGTGGAGAAGCAGGGCTAACATCTCTCACTGAGATAAGTAATTTGAAAAGGCAATGAAACCAGAAACTAAACATGAGTCTACTGACCTGGAATTGTAGTTCTTAGCCTGCTGGAATAATGAAGCACCCTGCATGCAATTACCGGTTGTCTGCTATGCATTTGTATCCCTCAATGTGCATTAGTTTCCAAACATTTTAAAGGATGGAACATAATGCTCTGACGAGGAACACGTTTGCATGCTGATACAACTGTTTTCTGTAAAGTTTATTTATTTCAC